CCCAGTCAGAATTTAGTGTTGGGGCTCAGTTAGGAAGGTCGAATTTATGCAAGTCACATACTATCTACGATTTAAACCTAAGCGCAGCAGAACTAAAGGTTAGGATTCAACGCGTAACATTTAAAAATTCGCAGACATTGTACAGACAAACACGACCTACGGGGCGAGCGAATGGTTCTGGGAAGTTCTTCAAGCCTTGTCCTTCACCTCGTCTTTGGTCGTGCGTCCCTCTCGCATCATTGCTCGTTCTATCGCGATTGCCTCGTCGTGCCTCGCATCGCCTTATGCTTTGCACCATGGTCGTTGGCCTATCAACGTTATTTGGGGTCGCCAGAATGTTGTTGGACCGACGCCAGTCTGCTGGTGGTCGTCGGGCCTCGGTGGTGGTGTTGGGCCTTATTGGTGCATGCTACTGGTGGTCTGGTTGCGTTCGTGGCCGAGCATTCTCGGGTCTTGCATGCTGGTTTGCCCTGCTCACCTGTGATCGCTCGCGTGCATGCTAGGTCTCTTGCGTACGCGGGTGATCGTTGGTGTCGAATGATGTGCGCGACACTGCACTTCATCGCACGACAGTATCACTCGGAACACCGAGTCAAGTGTTGCGTGTGCCGCGCAACGAGGTTGTTGGGGATGTCGGCTTGCGCGTAAAGAACATGCGACGCTAGTCTGTCCCCCGATGATGTTGCGCGCGCGCTGCACGTCTCGCTTGCCTGTGAACATCACTGAGAAACGCGAGCGCTACGCGTGATTCGCGCTCGGCTCTGTGGCGCCTACGAGAAACTCGCGCGCCCTCCTTCTGCGCGTGGTTGCGCCTATGCACGGGCATCTCCGGGGACCTGCAAGCTGCATGCTGCAGGCTGCACCTGGTCAGGGGTTTGCGGCCCGCCGACCACTGCCTGCTACCCCGCTATGGTCGATCGCTCCCCGATCTTGATTGGAACTTCATGTGATGTCGTTTGTCGTCGTGGGCTGATCGTCGGTGGCTCCGTGATGTTACTGGGGATAAATATACATTGGTTTTCGTCTTATTTTACCTTGGATCTTCTGTTGTATGACCCAACATTTTCTCCATTCATCTTGGTGGGTGACAATTTCAGAGATATCTCGATTGGAATTCCTAAGAGAGATTAGCATATATTGCGGCATATGGTTATGCGCGAGTCTCTCTAAAATCCCAAGAGACGTAATGTATTGTATTTATAGACTACAACAGAGACACTAAGGACACGTTACATATGGGTTTTCCATGTTGGGCCTAATTGTGGGCCAAACCCACTCATGCTCAAACTTTAATAATATTTCAGTTCACTAAAGAAATATTCTTGCACTCTCCATTTAGCGACCAAATTACATTTGAGACTTCAATAATAATTACTCGATGTATCTTTCTGTGTTTAAGATATCCTTGCACTCTCTATTTAGCAACCAAATTATACCATTAGATCAATGCACACGATGACCGTAAATATTCGAACAACATACGATACACAACACTACTACCCAAAACACGTCAGATTTTTGACTCAACTAAATGGATCTCACTTTTTGATGAATCAAAGTAGCAGCTACTATATGCACGTGATTGTTTATATTTTACGGGTTAAGAGTACACAATAATTAATCGATGTCTAGTTTATTTACTCAATCAGTATAAAACAAACTTATCCTCCGCGGGTTCAGTTCAATGGACACAGTGAACTAGTGCAACTAATTAGTCAAGACAGGCTGTACAATTAACACTACAACTTTTCACGATGGGTCATTCATTTCCATCTAAATTGTGAATCTAATTATTTATGTTTTACAAGTAATCAATATTTGATGTTCTATCCATTCGTGATGAACCACAATATTCAAACCACCGTTCACGATGAGTCATTCATTTTCATCTAAATTGTGAACCTAATTATTTAGGTTGTACAAGTAACCAATATTTGATGTTCTGTGAAGCATCAGAATATAGACTAGACTGTTAATTAAACATCATTCTCAAGAAATATAGTCAACAAAAAGCCGAGCTTTCTGTATACACACCAAGATTTAGAATATTTTATTATAAATATTTATGTAATAATAATAAATTAAGACTTTGAGATACACATTTTGCATACAAATTATCTACATTGTTATTTTTGTTAAAATTGATAAGAGAAAATATAATATGTATAACTTTTATTGTTTTAAATTAATTATTCGGTCCTACAACTGACCGAGATGTGAAAAACGATTGATTACACGAAGGCCAACCTCGGTCACTATTTGGGCCGATTCAATGCAATGAAACAACCATAATAGGAGATTGAAGAGATTGATATGCAAAATATTGAGTAGCATGTTGAGGTGCCCTTGAAGGGAAGGTCACGTAATTTGTTTGTAGGTCAGCACACAGGAAATGAGTGAAAACCGTCTACCAAACTAAAAGAAGAAAAAACAGAGAATATTAACCGAAATCTCTTGGGAAAGTGGAAACTGTCTGTGAAGGAAATGAGGGTTTGTAAAAACTGAGAACAACTAAACATCGATACAGATACAATGGCATCTCACTAGCAGAGTACGTCATAACCATGACTGACCTCGTGATGGAAGATAAGATTTTATGTTCATGGATGTGTTGAAGGCACATTTATATTGATTGCTAAGATTGTTGGGTTTAGTTTGGATCATACAATACAACCATTGCCTAAAACAACACAACACTTCTTCAGAATATACATGTGATCTCTCATGAGGCTGAATAAGTTCCCGACCAAACATGTCTTTTAGGTGTGAACCGCAACAAATGAAGTTCATTAGAAAGACCTACCAAAGATTTATCTGCTCGCTCGTGTTCCCTTCTTGTCGCCTTCTTCTTTTCACATTCTCCAAGCTCTTATATATACAATGGCCAGAACCCTGCAAAATCACATAACATGGACTTGCAGCTTGATAACAAATTCAAATAACCAACTTAGTACACAGATTCTTTGAAAAAAAAAAAACTAATTGCAAGCTGTAATAACACAAAACTGTCAGCAAATTTATGAACATACCTGGAGATCAAAGTTCATCCAGAAGTTAAAGGCTCATCCTTCTTCATCATCCTCAGAACTTGATGTGTCACCTTCACTGTTTTCATCGACTTGAATTTTCACCTGAACCTCAACCACCGGCATAGGATGCATGGGCGAAGTCCCTAAAAGTGCAAAAGAGCACACATCAGTAAAATATCAAACTGTTTCGCACAACCAGTTGGTATACTGCTCGAGTCATAAAGATCAAATGCATTCATGTCTTGGCAAGCAACAATATCCCATTTTAGAACACTCCCAAGGCTCAAACTCTTCTTGGCAGATGATTATTGAACTAATAGATTAGTGTTCGATCAGTATCACAAGGAGGGAACCTATGCAAATCTGCAGGAACATCAACCAAGAAAAAAGAAACAAAAGGACCACCCAAAAAGATCAACCTACAGACCACTTATATCACATACTGAACCAATCTGGCCCAAGTACAAAACAGGCAATAATAAATTTGTAAAGATTAGGTTCAAAAACCTCCAACTCAATTTCCCTACACTGAAACTCCTTTTGATGTCCTTAATGAAACCCTCCTAAGTCCAACCACCACTAAAAAGGTATAATTAACAACAATCTCCAATATTTCATTTTCTTGTAAATTTTCATGCCGGCTGCCGCAAAACTCGTGATCGTCTAAGCCCAATACACTCTGGTAGTATCACTTGATAGCTGATACTATTTGAAGATCCAAACTCAGACCAATTGAATTTCCATAATAAATTTAATGAAGGAGACTAATATCACATAGAGTTCTTGTTTATTCCCCTTATTTCATTCTAACCAATCTTATCACCATTTACCAAGCATCCTAGATCTGAAAGGAGACAAGCTTTAACCACAACAACTCATTTCCCGTAAACAGAGATTCATTTAACAGATCAAGCGGCCAAACGATTGATATACAGCCTCAATTTAATCAAGTAAACTGTAATAATCCATTTTTCGTCACCTTCGATGAAAAAGGCGGAGGAGGGCCAACCCTTTCCCGATTCGAGCGCCATCTGTTGGTCCTCAGACAAAAGTTCGCCCTGAGACCGCCGACCCCTCGCTGGATCCAGCGAGGCTAATTTCCCGAGGACTTCGATCACACTGCCCGCCGAGTGGCTGCGCATGGATGTGGCGCGCGGTGGGACCCAGTACGAGTGCCCAGGGAGGAAAGGGAGCCAATCGGGCGCCGCCCGGCGCACGATTATGGTGTGTATGGCCTCCTCGAGCTTCCTGATGCCGGAAGTGATGACCTCTACGGCCGCCTCAGGCGATTCCGACGGCGACGATTCCAGGTCAACCTCAATGAGCTGGGCGCGGTGGGTTTTGCTGGAGCGGTGGCGGCGGTAACCGATTAGGGCGGCAGGGGGGCAAAGTATAGAGCGGGTTTGGGATTGGGAAAGAATTCGAGCGATAGCCATGAGAGAAGAAAAGTGCAAATGCTTTCTTCTTCTAGAGAGTAAAAGCGTGGGCGCACGCATATCTTCATCATATATAATTCTCCGATGTGATAGGTGATAGGGTACGTTTAGTAAGTCAAATAATCTAGCTTATAATTTATTTGGTTAGTTTATAAATTTCTTATATTAAAATAAGAATGGTTTGATAGGACAAAAGTTCGAGCTTATCTCATAAGCTACTTTAGATAGTTTTTCAAATAAGTTGGTTGAATTTTTTATTTCAATTAGCTTATCAGCTATTTTTACCAAAAACTTTTATCATATAAGCTAGTTTTTCAGCTATAAGTCATAGGCTATAAGCTATAAGCTCGAAAATTACATATAAGCTATAAGCTAGCTTATCAGCTAGTTTTACCAAATTTAGCCTAGCATGTTCGCGTTGATAGATCTTAATTTACTCTCAATCCAAAAATAGTTAAGTTTGAACTATAAATAAATATACTTCAAAAAGCACGATGACTTCAAGGAAGAGGACGTCGAGGTCACTAAGAACAAGTCAGTTTCAGATAGCATCGTCGCGTTCGTGAGCGTTTTTTGTCTAAAGTTGATTGACAACATGCTGGTAGTTACGACGAGATGGACTCTGAAGCTAGTGCTTTTGATGTCGGTAACACATACCTTCATTAGTTTTATACCATGTCAGCCGAAAATCTTTACATTCAGGTGTTGTCTCAAATGTCTTCTCGTCCTGAGCACCCCATTATTGTTTCCCATTTTGAAAAAATTGATCTCTTTGATTTGATTAAAAATTTGGTTTCTAAAAATCTTTTGTCTCAGTTGGTAAGTTCGGCCCTCATTTGGTTTCTAAGTTTTGTGATAACCTCACTCAAGTATAAATGCGGTTGAGTCTCCAAAATACCACAAGCTGTTTGTTCGCAATTGTGTCATCAATTTTTCACTCGATGCGATAAACTCTTATCTTGGCTTTTCTTTTCATTCATTTGTGTCTGCTTTTGAGTACAATTTGAATGAAGTGGCATATGGTCTGACAGGGGGACCTTTGACTAAATGGATATGTTCCGATCTGTTTGTCAAAAGTATCACTTATCAAGTCAATGCCCTTCAAAAGATTGGTTCACTCAATTGGACTCCCACTTCTCACAAACAAAGAGTTACATCCATCTAGGCTCGTGTGATTTTTCGTATTTTGTGTGGGAAGTCATTTGATCTTAGCTTTGTTGTGCTTGACTCCATTATGTCTTTTATTGGAGTTAGTACACCCCATAAGTTGCTTCCCTTTCCTTCTGTGTTCTTTGGTATAATTTCAACTCTAGAGTTAAGATAGATGTCAGTGTGGATGATGAAATAGCACTTGCAAGCATATCTCTTATTCTTACCACCAGGAGAGTTGCATCCAAAGTACCTTACTTGTCAAAGCGTCAGATGTATCTGCTGATCTTGGGAATTTCCTAACCCAAAAAATCGCATTATTTATTGGCTTTGAAAAAAGACCTGCTGATAAGAGGAGGTACTACAAGGAAATTCTATGAGCTTGGAAGATTGCCCCTTTGTCTCCTAAATCAAAAAAGAGGGAGAAGGTAAAGGAAGTAAAGCTACAACAACTGGTAAAGATGGTAAAGGAAAGGAAAGACAAAAGAAGTACAACCACAGGAAGAGCAAGAGAAAAAGTGCATGAGGATGAGGAAGAAGACTCTAAAAAGGAGAAAACTGAAGGAGAAGCTAGTTCAAAAGATTCTGAAGAAGTTGGAGATGATGACATTTCACAAGAGTCAGGCTAAGCTCTGTGGACATTTTGTCTCAGATGTTTAAAAAATAATTATCTATGTTTTGCTCGACCGTGTGTGGCCTTGGTGCTGGACATCTTTTGTTTTTATTTGATTGGTTTGATTGGTGTTAATGATGGACTTTTTATTATCTGTGATGCATGATGGTTCTTAGCTTATTTGTGTAGCAGTGTTATATGTTATCTTGTACAGGAACTTCTCTGAAAGTTGTTCTTATGAACAATATATCTTTTAATGAAGTTCAATGTTTTTCTTGCCTCTGTATTTGCCTTGGTTATTGACTTATGCATGTTCATGAAGAAATGGGTTTTTGATTTATATGTCAAACGGGAGATTGTAATAATATGATTTGTTTGACATTAAATCAGAAATCCTGAATGGCATATTGAAGTCAAAATTAAGATGGCAAGAAGAAGATTTTGCTAAGTCAAGAAAAGTTTGATTTTTATAATATTTCTTTATTATCGAGTTCATTTAATTATGGACTAATTTATGTTGATCGAAGTGGAACATGAGTCAAGAAAACTTGCCATTGTATGATGAATCAGAACTTACGATGCATAGAGAGAGAGAGAAAGAGAAGGAGAGAAGAAAACCAGGACTTACCTTGCGGGAAAAGAGAGAAGATGCACATGCCATATAAGGGATGGAGAAGTAAGCGTGTGAAGGAGTTTTCATGTGTAGTAAACCTACCATATAAGAGGGATCAAGATGCACGAAAATATTCAGAAGAATTGGGACGCAAGTTATTTTTGGAAAGCAACTAGAGAAATGAACTTACATATGCCCTGCGATATAAAGTATCTTGCACACTCATATTTTACTTACGACTTTTGATTGTTTTGTGAATGTGTATAAGTTTGTGCGAGAGTCTGAGATACTGAGTTTGATTTACTTTTATTTAGTGCTCAAATCAGAGAGCATGTTCTCTTATTTGAGTGCGTGAGATTTCCTTAATCGTAAACTTAAAGGTTCTTAGGACGAATACTGAAAAACTCACGGAGGGTTTATGTGTAGTTGTATAAGTCCATGAGGAGCAGCCAAAAAAGTAGTTAGGTGAGTGAAAACATTGTACGTTAGAAAGAGGGAGTCTTTGTTGTCATACCTAAATGTATAGGTTGAATTGTTACTTGAATGAAATAGTTCCGAGGGAGAGTGAGATGCTATTTTGAAGGTTCAAGATTTGTAAAAAATGTTTCCGCATTTTAGTAAACGTACATTGTTTACTGTTAGGCGCAATTCTGTAACTCCCCCAAAATTTTGAAAGATTCTAATACTATGGTTTCGATTAATAATTAGGTTCATTCAGAAATATCACAAGTAACTATTTTCTTCATCTACCCTATAAGATTATCACAAAGTTAGCTTATCGCCCATCTCAATATTGATAGAATCATAGATTAAATCACATATATTAGAGTCTCCACTCAACACATGCAATTCAAATCTAAATAAACAAAAGATCCAATATCCTCACTTCCTCTCGATTCAAGCAAGTAAATTGTTTCAAATACTAAAAACCTAATATTGAACTCATCTCTTGAATTATGAAAAATATTGTTAAATATGCAAAAGCATTGGCCAATTGCTAAACATGGAATAAAAACAAAATATTTGAATAGGGTTCCAAAACAAAACAATTAATTGTAAATAATCATCCAAAATCTAAATAAACTAATTTACTCTCAAGTCCTCGAATCAACTAGATACTCATATTCGAAATCATTTACACAGAAATAGTAGAAATCTACATGATAAATAGAAGTTCAAAAGAAAGAAGAAAGAGAAGCTAGGAATCCCGTTGATATCTCGATCTTCTTGACTCCTTTGTAGTTGGATCTTATTTGCTTCTCAATTGCCTCTCTTGTATGTTCTAGGGCTCCCTCTCTTGTGTATCATGTTCCTCCCTCTCTTCTCTCTCTTGAGGTAGAAAAGCATATTTCGTTGCTACCTCTTGACATCAGAGCCATTGAACTACAAAGGTTTTTTTGCCTTGGATGGGAGCGGATACCATTGTGGTGAAGGCATTACTAGTCGGTGAAGCGGTCGGTTAAGCACTTTAAGAAAATGTTTGGTTTCTTTTGGTTGCCATCTTACGAACTCACAACAATTTCGTTTTAAGATTGTTTATTTGAGGTTTCTGAATATCAAGGAGATGGCTTAGGAGAATGAAGAAAACAAAGACAAAATTTTACGTTCTCCTTAAGACGAAATTGTCTCGTAAAATATCTACGGTTAACGGCAAATACTTCCAATATACAACGACTTTTGATTTGTACATAGCGGTATTTTCAATATATATACAAGCCTTCGTCAAATAAAACTATTGTTTGGAACCCTCAAGGCTTAATGAAAAAATATCAAAGAACGCATTTTTTTTCTATGAACTTTGAAAATGTAATGCAAGAGCTCTTAATTTTCTAGTTTTTAAAGATTTCATATATGTGGTCTTTAAAGATGTGGCAAAAGACCTACAAGGATTTAAGTGTCAAAAGCACCTTTTGGGATGCGCCCAAACAAGAACGAACGCAACTAGAAGCCAAAAGACACCTTATGGTGACCAGGGATCGCGACCCTCCGCTGGTGGCGGCCAGTTGCACGCTCATACGAGCTCATTTACACTCGAAATCAAGTTCTATTTTTTCCTACTCGTCCCCAAAGAAGCCTTCTAGAGTTCTAGCATGCAAACTGCATGATCAGGTCTCGTTTTTTGGCTTTTCCTAACATTTGTCAAAGACATAATATTTTGAGAGTCCAATAATATATGAATTACTTAACTCAGTTGTTCAAATTTTACATTTTCTACATATACAACTTAGAAATAATTTTTGATTCACCTTAAATTTTCAACTTATGAAAAATGGAACCGTAAAATCGATACAAAATCAATTTTTTAGATGCTTTTGGTGGTAGGTTCAAGTTCAAATTTATTAGCATAAGCAAACATGGATCTCGCATAAACCAAGAATGGGGTAAACACAAATGAAATATCAAATTAAGCCTCTAAAAACCGGAGTTCAAAATATTGGTTTCAACTCTTAGCATGGCTAGTCTACACCTTCCCGAAACACATTCTATCAGTGTGAGAAAATCTATTAACTCAAAAGAAACTAAAACTCAAGATGTAAACTACAAAAAAAAAAAAAAA